TCCCCCAGAGGTTACTTGAATGGTTTTTGCTTCTACCGTGATTTCTTGCAGGAAGGCTTTTGGGAACTGACTCTGCACTCGTCTCCCGGAGTTTATGCCACCAGTCCCACTTTTCTTTTTTTTTTCCAGCATAAAGGCAACAGTTTTTAAGTAACCCCTCCCCCAAAGCAAAACAAACGAAAAAATATAACAATTCTGTAGGCGAGTGCTAAAGGGACACTTGAAGGAACACCACTGGTCTGCATGCCCAGCAGGGACAGAACTCACTTGTCCAAGACAGAAACTCCAGAGGTCATGGCCTCTGGAAACACCTTGCAGGTCCCATCCTCTAGTGCATAAGCTACATGATTGTCCCCGTGTTTCAACTTAATTCTATGTTTCAACCAGAAAAAACACTCATGGGGCATGACACCCCCCAAAGTACAGCAGAACAAATTCTAAATAGTTTCCTTAAAACTTTAGCAAACATCAGTTCCACTCCCAGAAGCAATCACTTCGTTTCCTTTTTGGCTTTCGGAAGACCTCAGGTATAGACTCTTGGCATGCATACCTTTTCTCCATTTTTTGGAGAACGCCTTCCTTTTTGTTACACCGTTAACAAAACACCACCTAAAATGATGTTCTCTTCATTGCCTAATACAACATTACAACATACCATGGAGTTTAAGCCAGATCAATACAGCATTTAAAGCTTGGCTACATTGTACTACATGGATGCCCCATTAGCTTTTTAAGGAGTTCCCTCCTTAGAAAGCACATTTAGCTTATTCCCAATCTTGTGCTATTGTTTTAAATTATTGTTTACCCATAATCTTCTGGGCAAATCTGACAGCTTCTTCTACTGGGTCTGATGTCACAACTTCATCCAGAATGCCCAATTTGAGGGCTTCACCTGCTAAAATATGTCTTCCTGAAACAAAAGAAAAGAAAAGAAACCAGTGAACAATGTGGGGATGAACCAGGGCTTGCTCTCTCTGGAGGGGAAGGGGGCCGTTCCTGGATATACCCATTAGTAAGTAAAATGCATGAGATCAGCCTGACTACTGTAGTTGATGTTTTGTGTTTTGAGACAGGGTCTCACTGTAAGGATTCAGGCTTTATGCTGGCCTGCCCCTATCACCCTACAGAATGCACTCAGGCAGTATTTTGGTCAGCCCAGCATTCCATGACTACTTGCCTGCGTGCAGATGCAAAGGACCCCTTTAAAAGACAGACCCCGCCCACTTATGAGCTCTTTCCCTCTCTCTTCCCCACTCTCCCACTCTCTTCCCCGCTATTTCCCTGGCCAGACAGTACTTTTCCTGTCTCCCTCTTCTCTTCTGTCTTCTCTGTGCTCTTTACCTCTTTTCTCTTTTCTTCTCCCTCCCTCCCCTTTCTAATAAAACTTCTCACTTAAGCACTGTCTGCCTGGTGTGTCTGTCCCTCCGCCCCGGTCACGTTCGCCTGCCATGGAATCGGACAAGGTACCCACACGCCGTATCCTAACACTCACTATGTAGCTCAGGCTGGCCATGAACTCAATACACAGACCAGGCTGGTCTCAAACTCAGAGATCCACCTCCCTCTGTCTCCTGAGTACTGGGATTAAAGGTGTGTTCCACCCTGCTAGGACTGGGCTATAGTGGTTGAACATCAATACAAATGTAGCCAGGACACTTAAATTCAAGCTGTAGCTCTAATTCTTATTATTAGAGAAACCATAGGGAACTGTACGAGAAATCAAATTCCATGCCTGATAAATGGAAGTAATTATGTTTACTATAGTAATTCTGAGTATTAGATAAAAGAAAAGTGGTCTTTTTAGATACTTAGAGAAATATAGAACCCTGCAAGTCTCTGCAGATGTGTATGAACTGGTTGAGATTTGGACTGTGATAGAAGTGGTAGCCACAGATAGACAGGGCTATCTACCGTATGCCTACCACATACCAGGAACTGTATTGATCCAGAGACAGTCCCCAAATACAGAACTAGTTGGCTGAACAGAGAAACCTTAATAAAGGCCCAGTTCTGCTCCAAACGACTATGGAGCAAACACAGCCCTGCATGCTGAACCCAAAGCCTGCCCCCTGGCTTTGTTTTTTCCTGGATCACGAACAGTGTAGGCTGGACCTCAGTCTAGCAGGCTGTAACCCCAAAGCGCTGGAAGATGAGACCCCAAAGTGACTGGAGCAGAGCCGGCCTCTCACATGTTCAATTACGGCATGTGTCTTTCCAGATTTCTCCAAGAATTTTTCTCAAACTTAACATTTCGATGTCTTCATGGAACCTTTCTGAGATGTCATTTTAAAGCCAACCCGGGCCACCAAATCACACTGTCCACTGAAAAAGACAGGTGTGTGATTCCTGCGCCAGTTTACTTGCTGATTCACAGGGGCCTTTGCCATGCAAATCAAAACTTGTCAATCTCAGAGATTATGCTTCTTTCTCGTGATGCTACAATAACAGCATCTTATGAATCAGCGCTGTGGGCAAAGACCTTCACTTCTCTTTGTTACAGAAGTCGTTTTATTTTTTTCTTCCTGATTTATCTCAAGGTACTCTTGCCTTCCTGACGAATTTCTTCAATTTCCTCATAAGCTTAATTCTGCAGACTTTAGGGCTTGTAAATTCAGTTCTCGACACTGTTACTCTCTCATATATTTTGTGCTTCTGCTTCCATTTTGTCTTTTGCTTTGCGCTTCTGTAGGATGCTGAATTACAAGCATTCTCTGAAGAAATCGAAATGACCTCAAATACCTCACAGGCTTTTGAAATATACTTGTCATTAAACAACGTGTAACTCGATTATTTGAGTGAATTTCAATTCAATACATCTAGTTCTTCTAATTTTCCTTTCACACACCTCATTTAAAAGAGCGAAGCTACTTTTAATTCATACACACTATTGGTTTCTATGTTTTCGTGTCGGGTTTTTATCAGAGCATATAAATCTCTATTATTGATTCTAAAAAAAATTCATCTTTTCACATTCTTAGAAGTTATGAAAGACTCCAAAGAGCTACTAGTTATGTAGGTGGTATCTGTCAATATTTCCATAGCAGAAATTAAAACTGGGAACCTTAGAAAGATTTCTGAATGAAATAATTTTCAGACGATGACCAATTCATGACATGTTAACACAACTTTTCGTTACAATAACTGAATTTTAAACCTTTGCTTGTTTACCGCTCATTCATCAAAACATCATCTGCAAGTAGGAGCCTCATCTTAGTTTTACTTACAAAAAGACAGCAATATCAGGCTAGAGCTAACGGATAGGGAGTTCGTACCATGTGTAAGGTCATTGTGGTACCTACACAATCTTCCCATCTCCGTCTCATGTGTGCTACTGGAAAGACCACCCACAGGCTCACGATGAACCACACTTGTTTGGAGTAAATACTTGTACATGACCCGTCTCTCAACCTCACCTCAATGGAAAGTCAAGTTCAGGTTGGTTCATAGTCCCCATGCAAAAAGAAAAACTTTCATTTGAACTATTACCACAATACCTTGAAAATGAATAATTCAATCATTGGTACCGAAACTTGAAAACTGAAAATTCTAGTTTTAATTCTTTTGGGTATTATGCCCCTCCCACCCTCCATCCCTCCGTCCCTCTGTCCCTCTGTCTCTCCCTTCCATGTAGCTAAGGCTGGCCCTGAACACACACACTATATAGCTGAAGATGAGCCTGAACTCCACATCTTCCTCCTCCTTTCCTGAGTGTTAGATTTTATAGTTGCCAGTTGTCACATCTGGTTTTATGCATTGCCAAGGAACCAACTGTGGTGGACAAAGCACGCTATCAACTGAGCTACACCCACAGCCCCAGACATTCAACTTTCTTTCTTTCTTTCTTTCTTTCTTTCTTTCTTTCTTTCTTTCTTTTTTTTTTTAAAGATTTTATTGTTTATTATGGATACAACATTCTGCTTCCATGTATATCTGCACACCAGTAGAGGGCACCAGATCTCATAGCGGATGGTTGTGAGCTGGGAATTGAACTCAGGACCTCTGGAAGAGCAGTCAGTGCTCTTAACCTCTGAGCCATCTCTCCAGCCCCAACATTCAACTTTCTAAACCACGTCTGATTAGTATGGTTCCTATATGAATATGTAGTCTATGAATAACATCGAATAACATAAACTGCAGTATGACCCCCAGAGGGGCCCTTTGCATGCACTTTTCCTTTAGAAGGCTCTCACAAGGGCTCTTCATGGAAACATTTGGAATGTGCTGAGGCAAACTCCTGTATCTGTTTTACAAATGACAAATCTGGTAGTCAGAGAAATTAAAATAGGCTCCTTAGAACCTGTGTGGGTAGTAAGTGGAAAAGACCAGACTATCAAGACACTGGCCTTGTTCTCCACATTGATCCAAGTCACAGCCAAGTTTTCTACTGACCTGAGGTAATTAAGTCGAGGGCAATGGGAACTCCAATAAGTCTGGGGAGAAGCTGGGTTCCTCTGGCACCAGGAAGAATTCCCAGTGTGACCTCTGGAAAGCCAATACGAGCCTACAAGACATTAAAGGCAGAAAGGTCCAGGACTTCCCACATCATAAGAAACAGCTTAATTGAAATCAGCAACAGTCTCTAGAGGGCACACCATGTCTGCTGTCTCCCACAATAACATTACCAGCAGAGCTGTGCCATTTGCATACATCCTTGCTTGGGCACACTTCTTTCTTTGACTCTATAAGTACCCCTCTCAGATAACAAAGTAGTCTTTGCATTTTCAGGGTCCCTGCAAGCATCAGAATGTGAAGACAAAACCCCGAGGCTGGGAGAGAACGATACAGAACTTCCCGTATCTCCACTCTACAAAGAATGTACACAACTTAACAATAAATGGACAACCAACTAATAATGGGCTGATTATCTGAATAAACAACACCCCAAAGAAAGGATACAAGTGGCAAATGACGCTCAGTATCATTAGCCATTGGAAATGTAAAACTAAGCTACAATGAAACACATGTGATGCCTGCCAGAGTGAACATAACAAAAACGGCAGGTGCTCATTTTGGCAGCACATGCACCCAAACTGGAACAATACAGGGCTGATTAGCATGAGAGCTGCCAAGGGTGACACACACGTTTGTAAAGCATTCCATATTTTTCAATAGGGGAACATTGGGGTTCAAATGTTTTGAAGGGGGAAATAGGAAAAATGGGGAGTTTTAATTAGGAATGGGTAAGGAGATTTAAAAAAAAAAACAGAATAAAGAGGGAGAAGGATAAACTAACAGCAAAGATGGCTGCAAAAGAGGCTCAGCAGTTAAGAGTGCTGGCTGTTCTTCCAAAGAACCCAGGTTCAATTCCCAGCATCCATATGGTAGCTCATAACTGTCTGTACCACCAGTTCCTGTGGATCTGACTCCTTCATAGAGACACACATGCAGGCCAAATGCCAACACACACACACACACACACACACACACACACACAATGTATGAACAAGTCATAACGCATCATACTATTATCTCTCTACCAAAAATTACACATAACACATATGAATCTGTGTCTACGTGTACATATATAGTTTAAACGGTATTTTCCCATCTGGGCTGACAACGCTGCCCACAATAGTAACAGACAATTTTACAGAATCCCAACACCAAACACGAGAAGTCCCTGCTTGAGTTGCTCAGGATTGTTGAGAGACTCCCAAAACACTACAAAACATTGTGGTTACCTTTGGTTGCCTCCCAGAGGTGGAAGGAACGTCCATATTGCTGAAGACATCATGTACTTCAGACACAGGGCCCAGAGGCTGTGGAGCTGGAATTGACCTGAAAGCCTCCTCCCTGAGGACTTCCTTTCATGGTACCGCAAGCTTGCAAGGGAGGGAAGCAACTGACAATCCAGCTATGATACCCATGAACCATAACAAATATCATGGGTGCAGTAGTGGCACCCACACCTCCATGGTAACCAACAGCTCTCTAATTGAACTTAAAACCTGCTCAACAAAAGGGAGAACAAAAGGGTAGCCTACTACCAGGGCCAGTGACGTCATAGGGCAACCTACGACCATCACTTTAACAAAACAGCATAGTCCCTAACTACATCGTACATATTTGTCCTTCTACCCACATAAGTGTAGTCCTCACTACTCATCACAGAAACGTCTCTTTGTGCAGATGGAGACCAATGCAGGAAATCACAACCAATCAAAATGCAGAGTTGGGAAGCCCAGTCCCAATGGACACATCTACAAAAGAACGCTGGAATGTAGGGCTCAGGGAACACCGCGGAAGAGGCAGGCAGGAACCCAACAACCGAGCCCCAGCGCCCGAGATGCAAGAACCATCACCCATAAGTCAGCTGTTCAAAGTCATCAGCCTCAGGCCTGGCCCACCTTACAGTTTGCTCTGAGGACAAGCCCTGCCTTAACCCCACCCCTGGGAGCCTCTTACCTGTGCATTGGCAATCCGATAGTGACAGCCCAAGGCCAGCTCTAGGCCCCCTCCAAGAGCCACGCTTTGGATAGCAGCCACCAAGGGCTTCTTGCATCTCTGCATTTCGTCTACCACATCTCCCAGTCTGAGGCCAGGGGAGGGAGAACTGAAACTGTGAATATCGGCACCTAAAGACACAGAGAAGAGGAACTGGTTCAGAATGACAGGGCCTTTGTCACTAACACCAGGGTACGCAGCCAGTCTTAGAAGGCTAGGATGCCCTGGGGCTGAGAGGTGCTGTATCCTCAGACTGTATCCTCAGATAGAAGGAAAGGAGAGGAAAATCAAACCTTTACTGGAAACCATATAATCTTCCAAATTCTATGTTCCCATTTGGTAGTGAAGAGATATTTTTATTTTATTTTATTTTATTTAGAAACAGGGTTTCCCTATGTAGCTTTGGAGCCTATCCTGGAACTAGCTCTTGTAGACCAGGCTGGCCTCAAACTCACAGAGATCTGCCTGCCTCTGCCTCCCGAGTGCTGGGATTAAAGGTGTGTGACACCACTCCACTGCCCGGCTAACTTTGAGAAAATTTAAGAGCTCAGTAAAGGAACTAGATTCCTTACTCAGCCTGTCATTCTGAGAGTTAGTGCCTCTTGCTGTTCACCAGCCTAGTTTTTAAGAATGTCACCCTTTCCTCATGGAGAGCAAAAGTCAGTACAGTGTAAAAGCCACAGTTAAATGTAAACTTCTTATGAGTTATATCAGTAACCAACTTAGTATGTACACATTCCTGGAAAGCATTTTATTTACTTACTTACTTACTTACTTACTTTATTTATTTATTTATGGGTTTTTGAGACAGGGTTTCTCTGTATTGCTTTGGAGGCTGTCCTGGTACTCACCTGTAGACCAGGCTGGCCTCGAATTCACAGAGATCCACCTGCCTCTGCCTCCTGAGTGCTGAGATTAACGGAGTGCTAACACCTGGCTCTGAAAGCATTTTTAAATGACTTATTTATTTTTATTTTATAGGTTTGGAAATTTTGCCTTTGTGTTGTCTGTGTGCCTCATGCCTGCACTGCTTGTGGAAGCCAGAAGAGGGCAATGGATCCCCAGGAACTGGCGTTACAGAGGGCTGTGAATGGCCATCCCATCCCGATGTGAGTAGGAATCGAACCCAGGGCCTCCGTAAGAGCAGCCAGTGCTCTTAACCACTGAGCCATCTCCCTACCCCTGATGGATTTCTTAGGAGTCATAAAATTAACATAGCTTGTCTTTCTGGATTATAAAAATGATACAGGAAAAATGAAAATGGAAAACGTATACAAAAACAACAACAAAAATGAAGGACTGCCTAATTACACAGATATGAGGCTGCTGAATTCTAACTCCTCCCATAAATATGTAAATGGATTTGTGGCCTGACTGTGATAGTTACCCTTTCCGTCTCAATGGCTATCTGAGGTGACTTGAATGTCTTTAGAAACTTCAGTATGTCTTTCTAATGTGGAGAACACTGGGCAAAACCTTATTTTTTTGTCTTCACATGACAGTGTCGGTAATTCCTAGTGTTTCTACAGGGCATCATTTGTTCTTTGACATCAGTAAGTTTGGTGTAAACTTAAAAATGAATCTTTTGGGGGCTGAGAGTACAGCTCGATTGCAGAGTGCTGGTATAGCATGCAAAAGCCCTGTGTTCAGTCCACAGGACTGCAAAGGAATTTAAATTGAAAAGAATAATTTTGTGTTCAGAGTATTATCTACCTCCTTTCCCTCTTTTCTATCTGCTCCTCAGGGCATGGTGTGAATTCACCAGGCCGGCACGCATGGTCCCACATGCTGTCTCCTTTAAGTTTCCTGCCAATTCAATTACGTAGTATAATCCTCTGCATCACCAGTAAAAATTTAAAGTTTTGAGGTATTAAACTGATTGACCAAGACAGCAATTAAACTAAATTACAATTACTCGGTGGAATAGAGATCCCAACCCAGGTAGCCAGGCTACAAAGCCCACATCTCACTGTAGTCTTTTAATCACACAGTTGATAGTGTGGTCACAGAACTTCACAGAAACCAAAGGTCAGGGTGTAGCGATTTCAGTTTTTAGAGAAAGAAGTTAAATTTTGAATACTGGTTTAATGTCTAGAAGTTTTATTAGATTCCCTTCTGAATTACAATGAATTTCTGATGAATGATTATGCTAGTCCTGCAAACATTGCCGTATCTTTGGATAGTGAATTGTTTTTTTAATCTTCCTTCACAAGCCTTACACCACTGATTTATTTTTTCTTGTTCAGTAGCCTGGCAAAGGGTCTAAGTCCAAATGGGTGGAGCTCAGCCTTCTTTTCCTCTCGGGAGGAAAGCTTCCTACTCAGCATTTACTTGCTAGCTGTGGGTCTTGTAAACACCTTCAAATCTAGCTCAGTAAGGATTCTTATCTCCATGCTAACCGCTGTTGAATATAATTTCCCCTGCGTCTCTTGAAATACTCATATACTCTATCAATAACACTGATAGAGTGTCCTGGCATTCATATGTCTAAGTCAAGAATGGTTGCTACACCTTTTATATAACAGGAATTCCTGTTAGAAAACAGCAAGATTAGGGTTGGTCTATCCTTTTGACTGCTCACACTGACCTGGTCGGGTATCTGCTCACACTGCCCTGGTAGGGTACTGGTTTAAAGCTCAGATTAGTGTCAGCACAATCTGAGCCCGGTACTGTTGCTGCAACATCCACGGAGTATCTGTGAATATCATCTGACTTGGAAGCAGAGCCTTTGCAGATCTGTTCAAGTTCAGAAAAGGTGATACAGGGGCTGGAGAGATGGCTCAGCAGTTAAGAGCACTGGCTACTCTTCAGTTCCCAGAACCCACATGGCGGGCAGTTCATCACCATCTCTTAACTCCAGTTCTAGGTGATCTGATGCCCTCCTCTGGCCTCTGCTGGCAATTGCATGCGCATGGTACAGACATACATGCTGGCAAAACACTCACATACATAAAATGAAAATAATGATTTTTTTTTAAAGGAAAATATGTAGTACTTGGCAATGAGGAGCTATCTAAGATCAGGAAACTTCGATGTGGACCTGCTGGGAAGAACTCATGTGAGGACGGAAAGAGAGTGGGGAGTAATCCTCGAAAGGCAATGATTGACAGCACCAGCCACAGGAAGCCAGAAGGGACAGGCAAAGCTTCTCCCTAGACCCCGAAGGAAGAGGGGCTTCTGGTGTTACATCAGAAGGTTCCAGCCTCCAGAACAGAGGAACAGGAAACCTCTAGTATTTTAAAATAGACCAAGGACACTCAAGAGGCAGAGATGGGCAGATCTCTGTGAGTTTGAGGCCAGCCTGATCTATATAGCGAGCTCCAGAATAGCAGGAGATACATGGGGAAACCCTATCTCAAAATAAATAAATAAATAAATAAATAAATGAAAAAACAAAAACAGTTAATAGAAAGTTGTTACAGCAGCCTCAGGAGACTTATCCAAAGAAGGTTCCAGGTCCCTTCTCTCTCCTTCCTAAAATGTTTTCGCAAACTTGAAGTAGCATTAACTTTACATTTTTAGGACAGTTTGCCACCAGGGCTTAGAATTTACTTTGTGAGTTTTCTGATTGTAATTGAATTTATTTATTTTTTTCCTTTTTGAGTCATGGTGTTGTTAATGTAGCTCAGGCTATGGGAAACTCACTGTATAGTTTGGGGGGT